CACCAGCACCACCACTGCCCCAACGGCGGCCACCCAGGCAGCCGTCTCGCACATCACTAACCGCGACATAACAACCGGCACCACCCCCGCCTCTCCCGACTCCAACAATGAGAACCAGGACTACACCTGCCCTCATTGCGATCGCACCTTCACCTCACGTATCGGCCTGGTCGGTCACTTGAGAATTCATCGCACAGAGACCGGCGAACCAGTGCCTGGAGCACCAACCTACAACCACCGCACTCGCCTCCACTGCCCACACTGCCCTCGCACCTTCACGCATCGCATGGGTCTATTCGGCCACACGCGCATCCACGAGAGCGGAATTGACCACAATTCCGACACGCCAACCACGCCCATCATGCCCAGCACCACCCTCGCACCGTCCATCTGCGGCACCACCAACGCCTCCTTTGTAGATTATTCTGACAACGCCGACTTCACATGCCCACACTGTCCACGCACAGTCACCTCACGCATCGGCTTGGTCGGTCACTTGCGAATCCATCGCACAGAGACCGGAGAACCAGTGCCTGGAGCACCAACCTACACCCACCAAGCTCGTCTCAACTGCCCACACTGTCCTCGCACTTTCAGGCACCGCATGGGCCTATTCGGTCACATGCGCATCCACGACGACCTGCGGTAGACAACCGCCGGTTACACACACTCCCTACCCTCCTCCACCATCACCAACACACATCAACACTCACCCACCGCATGCACCAACTACCACCTTCCACGCAAGTGGGAAGTGTGCATCTCGACTCGGTCCCCATGCGGCTTCGGCTGCACGGGTGATTTGAGTCCGAGACTATCCCGACACTTCAAGTGTCGTGGATAGGAAGGTTGCTGATTGACGCCCGCTCTCGGTTCACGCAGTTCGTCGCGTTGTGTGTGTGTGTGTGTGTGTGTGTGCTGTGTGGAGTGGCGGACTGGTGGGGTGGGAACGAGCTGAAGCAGCACCTTCCACGGCCCTCTCACGCAAGTGAGAGACACCGTTCAACCCCCGTTGTGTGAAATCCTGGTGTTTGTGTGTGTATGGGGGGCCAGGTCGTGCTGTGGCGCGCGCAGTCACGGTCAGTCGACCGTGGCAGCCACCGCGCCCGTTCCCCACTCCAGTTTGCCGACCGGCTCGGACGGCGGCTGGGGTGTGGGAATGGGAAGGGAGAGTGAGGTCGACGACTCAGCGCATTTTCATCACTATAATCAATCTGACGCGCTTGAAGCTATCACGGTGCGCTAAAAGCCGTGGCTTGGAAGGTTGCCAACTGACGGGGTAACTTGGACCTCCTCCTTGACTGGAGACGGTCTGAGAGTCAGGCTGCAATGGCTCCTTTTTAATGTGGCCTTTATGTCACTCTCACCACAGCGTGGGATCCGAGCCAGGCGTTGGCGGCAGGCCCAGGTGCGGTTTCGGCCGTGCCAGCCTCTAAATCTCTGTTGTGTTGGTTGAAATCCTGGTTATTGTTGTGTGGACCAGGGGGTGTGGTGGAACGCCTAGGCGAGGATCCGTCCGAGCCATCCACCTGCAGCCTCCCTCGTCTCCGGTCTTGACTCTGTCTTGACACCGGGCCCAGGCGGGGGAGGAGGAGAGAGTGCAGGTAGATGCAGCGCAAGCCTACTGGCACTATAAACCCCTGCGCAAGTCACCGTCCCTGCTCCAACCACCTGTGGGGCACACGGTGGACATCATCGAAATCGATGATCGAACTGTCAGCAAGAATCCCCGCCGCCAAGGAGAACAAATCCGTCGATATAAGGGCACTCTGAAGGTCTCTTTAAAGCGCCTGCAGATCATCCCGGCCAACTAAGAAAACCTCGTTCGAGACCGGCTGACCTGGAGGACAGTAAATACAGACGCAGCAATCTGCGAAGCCAACCGCATTGCCTCCGCGAAAGCCAAACGAGAAGAATTCAAATCTCAACTGCACCCACCTCCCAACGTCAACGCACAACCGCCTCCAACGTGTCCACGGTGTTAACGGACATTCCGGACGCAAATTGGACTTGTTGTACACCTTCGGATCAACTGCAGCGTTCGGACTGCGCCAACCGTTGTCTCTCCGTTCACTTCTCCCTCGCCTCCTACGCCGTCAACTAACTCTGACCGCCCTCCCGAACCTTCATCTGCAGCCTCTTCTTGCTTCTCATCCTCCTCCTCCTCCTCCTCCTTTCCCACTGCCTTCACGTCTGCCGATGTGGCGTCTGCAATGCACATCAACATTACACATAATCCTGACACACCAGAAATGGTGAGGGCCTGGTCCACACCTGCCCTCATTGCGACCGCACCTTCAATTCACACATCGGTCTGGTCGGTAACTTGCGAATCCATCGCACAGAGAATGGCGAACCAGTGCCTGGAGCACCAACCTACACCTCCCGCATTCGCCTCCACTGTCCTCACTGCCCTCACAGATTCATGCATCGCATGGGCCTATTCGGCCACATGTTTATCCACGAGAGCGAAATTAACCGAAATCTCGACATAACTAACGCATCCAGCACACCTATCATTCCTAGCTCCGCCCTAACTCCGCCGCCCTGCGCGCCTACCGCCACTAGCGCCATCACATCCAGTGCATCCTTCACACCCGTCACGCTCAGCCCTATTCCTATCCCGTCGACCAGCGCGTCCACCATCACCATCTCCGTAGCTGACACCGACACCACCGACTTCTCGTGTCCACACTGTCCCCACACATTCACCTCATGCATCGGCCTGGTTGGTCACTTGTGAGTCCATCGCACAGAGACTAGCGAACCAGTGCCTGGAGCACCAACCTACACTCGCTGTATCCGCTTCCACTGTCCATGTTGCACTCGCATATTCATGCACCGCATGGACGTCTATGAAGACCTGCGGTAGACAACCGCCGGCTAAACCACACCATCACATCCTCCTCCACCTACATCACGCAGTCTCATCCACCACAATCGCCCAGATGCTACCTCATGCACAAGTGGGAAATGTGAGTCTTGACTCCGTCTCCATGCGGCTCCCCAGCTGCATGTGCGATTCGAGTCTGAGACAATCACGGCTCTTGACGCGCCGTGGCTGGGAAGGCTGATGACTGACGCCCCAGCTCAGTCCACGCAGTCCGTCCAGTTGTTTGTGTGTTTGTGTGGAGTGGCGGGCTGGTGGGCTGAGGGCCAGGCTGAAAAAGATCTATTTTAACCTGACCCATGGCACTCTCACGCATGTGTGATGTATGCTGCTCAATCCCCCTTTTGTGAAATCCTGGCGTTTGTGTTTGGGGGGGGGGGGGCAGGTCGTGCATGTAGCGCGCGCAAGCAAGGTCATTAGATACGTCAGCCACCGCGCTTATTCCCCGCATCAGTCAACTGACCCGCTTGAACAATGCCAGGGGCCTGGGAATGGGAAGGGAGACTGAAGTCGCGACTCAGCGCATTTTCCTAACTAAAAACAATCTGGCGCGCTTAAAGCTATCACGGGGAGCTAAAACGTGGCTTAGAAGATTGTCAACTGACGGGCTAACTTGGACCTTGCAGTCGGTCCAATGTTGT